GCCGGTCGGCCGCAGGCGTCACAGTGGTGCCACGGGCAGATCCAACGTCCTGCAAATCATAAGAACGTTGGATGAGGGCATGCGAGCGTAAGTGAATTAACTACGTACACAGAGGCATGTGTTTGATGCATGGAAGAGCAGGTATAGGAGGATTGCCCAAGGGCAAACAGGACCATAAATACTGCATCGCAAGACATGATGCGCGCACAAAAGGTGAGCGAAAATAAATCGACTTCGTATGTTATAAGAAAAGAACGAAGAGCTGACTGTCCGGTTTGACGAACCGTTACAGGCAGCGTAAAAGCCCTTGGTAGTTCGAACAAGAATTTCCATAATTTGCGATCGATAAAAAGAGATATCAGACTTCAGAATTATGACCACCGAGCGGTTAGACAAAGGAAACTTGAATACACCTTTGCTTTGGAGAAATTCTCTTCAGGCCTGTGAATTTATCATTTGTCCAAAAGAATACGAGAAACTCCTCCAGCATTGTTGGGGAAGGACCAAAAAAGAGCATTGACAGTTCCATTCTAGCACATATGGGAGACTCGGATCATCGCGTGGATGCCAGAGAGACTTCCCAAGTGTTCTATAAGGTTCCCTTAAGCTGTTCAAAATTCCTTGGACAGCGTCTGTTAGCTAAGGAAAAATCGGCTGCCTTCAGATCACGCAAAACGGTCCTGTGCGCCCAAAAGTATTTCGTAAAGGCACTGCAGTTACCATGGTCGAAAGTTACTAATTCAAACGCCCACAGCTTATTACCGTTCCCAGTGGCCAGTTCCCTCTGACTTCAATTTTTCTGCCTCCCGGCTCTGACAACCGCATGATTTTTTCTACCAAGCCACATATTTTATTTAGTTAATAATGAGATAAATGCATAGGGCTACAGAGGATGTACCGAAGGGAAAAGTATGCTCGCCAATTTATCCTTTGAATTTTTCAATGGGAGTTTTCGCAACTTTAGGGCGTGAACAACATCAACAGGCTTTTCTTAAGAGCAGGGTTCATTTTCAGAGTATGAGATTATACACTTAAGAACTTTGATTATAACAGATTATTGGAAATGCAGATTTCGCCTAGACAAAAGAAGGGTGTGTTGTGAGATGAGGCATAAACAGCGGATCTTCGACTTCGCATCGGAGGTTCCACACATGGAGCTGTCGCAATTACGCCTGCTGGTCATAAGATTTCATATATATATTCCCTTCTGATTCGAAAGGCGAGGCTGCTGCATTGAAAAGCAAGTCTACTACGCACAAGCAGAGTATCAGTTATTCTAACAGACGCTTTGCAGCCAATTAAAGTATCCTTTAGAACACACCCTGGAAAACAGAGAAGGTCCGGTGGCATTTTAATGCATGTAATTTCGACTTAGTTTATTGCCATTTCTTTATGAAAGTGTTCACTCCGCAAAGAACTCAAGAGGTTCTTAAGTACTGTCGTTCTGTAGTCATGAGCCATAAGACGTCTATATTCACGATTCAGAGAAGAACTCAGTAGCAAACGTCTGGGACTGTGCTGAGATTTTTGAATGCATTGGGTGATTATGATCCGAACAATCAGTTATGCTAATGACAGCAAAAGGCGCAACAAGAGTCTAGTAGTAATTGGAAGACTTGAACCAACTCTAGGAGACAGACTAGGGTTAGTTTAACATCAAAAGTGGCTCCTCAATCAACTGCACCCAAATGAATCGGAAAGTAATAATGATACTTGCAGAAAAATGTGAAAATACACCGAGTTGAATATCCTAATAAACTCTTTGAAGGAATTAGTTTAAGATGTGTAAACAACAAATTGGTAAGCATTAAGATAGCCAAACAATTAGCAGAATAAACTAAGATAGAGAAAGTAGAACTACATGAAGAAAGTCTTAGAGGAGAAAAACAGAAAACAAGTCAAGCAAACGTACCAACAGGTTTCTTTTCTAGTTCCAGACACTGCAGGTGGTAGGCCTTTGGGCAGTCATTCCTTCGACACATAATTAGAGGCTCCACTCGGCAGGACTTTGTTGATGAGGTGGAAGCGGCTGAGGTCACTGAACTCGCCTCTTCCGCCGCTGACGGATCGAGGTGGCGTCGACGACGACGCCGTTTGGGACTCCGACTGGCCGTGGAACCAGTGGAGGCGTCAGTATCATCCGGCCAGAGCTTGCCGCATCTGGTAAATGGCAGATTGGCAGAAAGCATACAATAAATTAGAGGAAAGAAAAACAGTTAGGTATGCGGAAACCAGGCGAGAGTGTAGGCAAGGAGAGGCACGGGTAAAAGCCCTCACCGGTAGCAAATCTTCTCATGTCGATTAATTTCCGCCTCCATTAACT